AGAAACAGATAATGCCTGTAAATAGTACAAGGCAGGGAGAAATCCTTAATGGATGCCGGTGAAAGAAGCCAGTTTTCCAGCTTAGGTGGCAAGACATAACCCTGAGTCACACAGGAACGGCACTAAGTACAGTGGAGACCCTGCTGGGGGCCTCCCTCTCATCACAGGCCTGCTTTAAAGTCACATTGCCTGTTGTTCTACTTTCCTCACCAGCACCAAGCTGTTTTTTACTCTCTTCTGGCTTTTGCAACTCCAAATTCAAGATTCTATGCTACTGACTTAACTCCATAATTTTGATGTCTTCCACTCCATCAGAGAGATATTGGGGGAAAATATGAACTTTAGAGCAAAACAGACCTGATCAGGATCTCAGATCATCACTGGCATTTATCAGCTGGAAGATATTTGGCAAGCTACTTAATTCTTCAGGGCTTCTCTGTTCCCATGCAAAAATTGAGATTGTAGGATTTCATGGGATTGTGAGTTCCAACAATTAGTTAAATAAGTAAGAGCCATGAAAGTGTTCTTTGAATAAATTCAGTACTGAATTCATCCAGACTCTATTCTAAATACTGGAGAGACAGCATGATCCAAGTAGATCGTGTTTCTCCCCAAAAAAAGGTTATATGACAAAGTATATAAAAGGTCATAGCCAGTCATAGTAACTGCAATAAAAATAGGAAAGGTTGGGAAATAATGGTGGAGGGAGTCACTTGAGATACAATGGGCAGAAAGGGCCTGTGAACACGTTACATATAGTAGCACTGCTGCACACCTTCCTACTTATTGTATTTTTGTTTTGTTTTGTTTTTCACATGATGAAATCTTTAGGGATTTGTTTATTGTTTTTGCAAGACAGGGTTTCTCTGTGTAGCCCTGGCTGTCCTGGAATTCACTCTGTAGGCCAGGCTGGCCTCAAACTCAGAGATCCACCTGCCTCTGCCTCCCAAGTGCTGGGATTAAACGCATGAGCCACTACCACCATGCAACTGAAATCTTTGTTTTTAATTTTTTACTAAATTTAATTAATATGTAATTGTGTCGCTTCCATTTTCTTTTCCTCCCTCTTCAGCCCCTCTTATGTCTCCTCTCCCAGTTCCTCCCATGTCACTTCCCACTCCCTCTCAAACTGATGGCCTCTTTTTTTTAACCATTATTGTTAGACAAACACATATAAATATGTACATAGAACCTGCTGAGTCCATTTCATATGGCTTATGTGTATATAATGATATGATTTTAGGGATGACCACTTAAGGGACTCATCCCTGTAGGAGCTAATTCTCCCTTTCTCATAGGCATTAGTTGCCTACAATTGTTTGTCTAGGGCGTGGAACCAGGTCAAATTGAGCCCTTTCCTGTTATCATATCTGTTAATATTGTCATTATTCAGGTCTTGTTTCAGAATCAATTTTATTAATGTATCATGAGTACACCTTCCCTATTATTTCTGAGACTCAATCTCCCTGGTCCTCTGGTTCTTACATTTCTGTGCCCCTTCTTCCTCCATGTGTCCTGACCTTCGGTGCAGCTGTTGTGTTATAGATATTTACCTGAGCTCCCCGTGTTTTTTTTGATCTCCATTTACTGTAAAGAGATGCTTCTTTGAGAGGTGAGGATAAGGATAAGTTTTATAATGCAATTAGGAATTTTGATGGTCTGATAAAGTAACAATAGTAGGTTCTCTTCTAAGATCCATGACCTTACTGTCCCAGGCATTTGGTTGGTTTCTAAGACCAGGCATAGTTTCTTGCCTATTGAGTGGGCTTTCAAGAAGTTTGATTTGTGAAATAGATGAGATCTAGAAGTTCAAATACAGAAGCTCTGAATTAGTGTTTGTTATGAATAAACATCTCTTTTCTTTGGAAAAAGTCTAAACTTTTTTGCAGAAGCTTCATTCCCAAAGGAAGGGTATTTATTGGGCTGGCAGTCATGTGGTCACACTTTATTTAATTATCATAATCATCTCTCTAAGTCCATGTTGCACTCAGGACAACGAAAATGCTAATGGCTGTTGTTTATGAAGTGCCAGCAAGGGGAGGTACAGATGCTTTGTCATTTAATCCTCACAGCTAACTTTATAAAGTAACTATTGTGTCTCTTAATTACAAATGAGGACACTAAGGCTTACATGCCAGACAGCTAACAGTAGCAGAGCCAGGACTGAAGCTTAAATAAACATCTTAGTTTAGGAGCATCCACTCTTTCCAGCACCCTTCTGCCTGCAGGGATAATTACCATTGTTCTTAGTGATGATTATTTTTAGGAAACACTTTACCATAGAGTAAGATTAAGTTTTTAAATTCAATGTACATGTGTTGTGTGTACCTACGATTTGTTAATGTTCACTTCTACTATTTATTAGATTGGGGTTTTGTTTTGTTTTTTTTCCTAGAGTGTCTTTTTTGTGTTTGTTTTGTAGTAGTAATGGTCGAACCCAGGTCTTTCACACATGTTGCTATTCTACCACTGAGCTACCTTCTCAGGCCTTTTTTTTAAAATCAGGAGTTTAAAAAAAAAATTGATGTAATGGGTTTTCAAGTAGCTGAGCTAGCATTGAACTCCTAATTTCCCTGCCTCCACTTCCAGATGTTGATATTACAGGCTTGGACCTTTAATCTGACCAGGACTGTGGAAATTTGTTGAACAACTGTATTTCTTTCAAACACAGTACCCTTCTAGTAACAGAAGGCACTGTTTTTACAGCTAATGCTGTAACATTATTTACCACCATTGAGATATATATATATATATAGATAGATAGATAGATAGATAGATAGATATAGATATATATATATCACCTATTTTTCATTTATTTTAGCATCTAACCTTTCCAGAAATATTAAAGATAGACAGTTTCATCCTTATTTTGTAGATGAGGAAGCTGAGATTCAGTGACTAGTGAAATACCCCCAGGGTTAAACTACTTGTGGTAAAAGTCAGATTCCTGAGTTTATGTACTGCAGAGCCTTACATAATCATGTCACAGGAACACACCATGGCAGCACACAGAAGCTAAGCCCAAGATAGCAGCCAGTGTAGGTTAGTAGTTAATAATTTACATACACACATTATAAATTTCCTCTTCTTCAGTGCACAGAGGCTTTGATCAAATGGTGATGGTACCATGTAAGTGGCTACAATATTGATGGTATAATTAAATATGTGCTTTAAAATGGGGGGGGGCATGCAACAAAAATAGAAAGGAAAGACATCAAGCACTTATGTAAGGTCTGGGAAAGGTGTGCCATCTTTAGATGACATCATTGGGCGTAAGCCTTGAAAACAACGTCTCTGACAAACAGTGTTGGATATAAAGAATGATATGGTCACATAGCTACTTGACAGAGCAGAGATTATAAATTGGTCTGCCTTGTTCTTTACCCAAGATCTTGACCCATGACTAGAACACCAGGAACAATTCATTGACTTTTGGCATCTTTTTTATGTTCTCTATTCTTTTGGACTCTAAAGGCAAATTATATGCATTTTAAGGGGAGAGGGAAATCATAAAAGATCAGGGTAAATCAGATCAGCTACTACTGAAGAGTCAAAAGAGACCCACCATTGATTATGTGTGTGTGTGTGTGTGTGTGTGTGTGTGTGTGTGTGTGTGCGCGCGCGCGCGCGTGCGCGCACGCGGCCTTAGACTTCATCAGCTAGTGTTGCCTATCCCCAGAGATTCTGAGGCAGTGGAGTAGATTTGGGTTGGAACCTGCAAGTTGGTATCTCATAAGCCCCAAGTAATGGTCCTACTTCTAGGACAAGTACCAACCATTGAAGACCACTGGTCTCTTCTCTGAGGTCACTTCCTACCACAATCTGTATTTTAAAACCACTAATAGCACAAAAATCAGAAGGTCTGAACCATACAGTTCTCTTCTAAGTGGCACCTTCAGCAAGACATGTAAGCATTTTCTATTGCTTTATTAGTACATGGTTCCCTGTGGCGTAGGATGGATGAGAGTCCAATCTAATTTCGGAGAAGCCGATTTTGAAAAGAGTAGTATGCAAATTATTATTGTATGAAGATTCTGTCTTGACAGAATCATTGAGGAAAATATAGTCTACCTTTATATGAAAAATTAATAGAAAATGCCTCTTTTTACTCTTGTCTGTAATAAAGAACAGTTGAAATCTAAATGAACCATGAGGGGACCTCATCCTTTGTCATTTATTAATGTTAGTTTTTAAAGATTTGTTTGTATTTGTAGCCGAGCATTGGTGGTGCACGCCTTTAATCCAAACACTTGGAAGGCAGAGGCAGGTGAATCTCTGTGAGTTCAAGGCCAGCATGGTCTACAGAGCTAGTTCCAGGACAGGCTCCAAAGCAATACAGAGAAACCCTGTCTCCAAAAAAAAAAAAAGGAAAAAGAGATTTGTTTGTATATATGAGTGTATTTGTATGCCACCTGAAGAGGGTGTTGGATCCCATGGAGCTAGAGTTACAGGCAGTTCAAACTGCCTGATGTCAGTGTTGGGAGCAGAACTCAGATCTCTGTAAGAACAGCAAGTGTTCTTAACCACTGAGCTAGTTATTTCTCCAAGCCCCCATAAGTTAATGTTTTAAAGAATATAAATAAAAGAGAATAATAACTGGGACCTATCTCAGCACCTAAGTCTGTGAGCCTTTTGAAGCCTTGGCACCAAAGGAAGGAAGGAAGGAAGAGGGAGACTGTTGTCTGTGAAGCTTTGAAAGTAGGGAAATGCTGGGGCCCCCAAGATATAAAGATGGGTGGAAATGCTTGGGGCATGAGTCAGTTAGAGCTAGGGGGAAAATAGTAGCTGTTGGGTAATGTTGCTGTTTCATTTGGTGTAAAGTACAGAGCATAAACCAGAGTATTTAATGAGCCAAAGCACCAATTGTGGCATGGACAGGAATGCAGGCTCAGGTCTTTAAGGTCTTCACAGGGACCCTAAAGCTGTGTGAAACACTCAGTGTTAAGGCTGTACATTAGCATACATTTTTAACCTTAGCAACCCCTTTGCTTCTTCTGTAGGTGAAGATGAAGATGAATTTGAGAATTTTATGCTGCCTCTCACAGTGTCTTTTGAAACAGTTTTGCAGATATTCAACAACAACTTTAAACAAGAAGAAGCAAAGGTGAGTTTGTTTCCATACATGAGGGAAGACAAGTATTCTTTCTCAGTGCCTAACACCAGAGAAGGTACTTGTTTATCTCTATATATCCCACCCTTCTAAGTAATATACATATGAAATGTGCTTTAATGTAAGCACTTCTGGATGCAGGTGAACTGTGAAGTCAGCGGCTTAGGACAATCAGTTCATGGTTATATGGTACAGATTTGTCTTCAGTGATGCTCACTGTCTGTAATAGCACAGTTCTTGTGGGCAAGCCACTTTAACATCACTATCTCCCATCCACCCTGCTCTGTGTGTTTCAGCATATCCATATGGAGGCATGCACATGCTAAAACCCTACATCTCTGAAGATTTTTTTGAACAAGAATTTATATAAATCAAGACTTTATTAAATGGCTAGGCATATGTGTATAAATAGGAGCCGGTCTTGAAGTGTTGCATTCTTAAACTGAACAAAGTGATTAGGATAACTGATAGCTAAATAAGGCTTTATGTGCCTGTGGGAGCCATATTAGGATTGATTTGACAAGTCAGTTCAGCTGTGGCAACAGTCATAATATCTAAGACAACATTATGTTTTATTAGTAAAATCCTTAAGTGTAGCAAGCTGTTTGTGACAAAACAACCCCGTATTTTAACGTGGGGGATGGGAAGCAGGAGCTTTGCCAAACAAAAATAGTGTCTCCTGAAATTATGCTGTATCAGAGCTATATTAAATAGATTGACACTGATTGTTATTTTTAAGAATAATAAATACATTCCAGAGAAGTAGGTACCCTTGTTGGTGATGCTCTAGACACATGTTATTGTTACTTGAAATAGGTTGAAATAGTAACCATCTTTTCCTGGCTTCTCTTCTCTCGTTCCTTTCCTTCCTCTCTTTTTCTCTCTCTCATATGCCATGAAACCAATTAGAAAAGGAATGGCCTTTACTGACATTTATATAATGTTTCTGTGAAAATTTAAAAAGTAAATACCTAATTCTTCTTTGTTTGTATGGTCTTCCTGAATTTTGTCAGTTCCTAGCTGAACAAACTGTATTTTTTCAATGTCTTCCAAATGTTTTTGGCCAACCGAATCTTTGCTGCTTTTAAGTAGCCCTTGCTGCCCCTTATCAAAAAGATTTGGTGAGGTTGAAAACTGCCATCTTTATGAAAATTGCATTTGTCTCATTTGAAGATAGCATTATATTCCAAGCCTGTTTGGATGTAATTCCATCTAGTTTGATAGAAAACATCTTCCTAGAGTCATTTTTAATGGAGTTCCAGTGATATATCCCTAAACTAGCAAGTTCTTAACGACCCTGGAAAGTGACTGCTTGATTACACTTTAACGGTATTTGCAAATAAAATCACAAGTAATTAAGGGGAAATCTCCAGGCTTTTGAGCAAGTTTGATGCATGATAACTGCCTGATTCAGCTTCATCTAGAGTAATGCTGTGTAGGCAACAGCTACTGAGATCAATAGCAACGTAATGATAGTGGCAGAATTAAGTGAGTAACCTGAGAACTGTGCCTCAGAATGCATGCAGCTGCCACGAACCAAGGCCACACAGTGCACTCCGTGCTTCCGTCCTAAATGTTCATCAAAAGACGCCCTGCAGGAAAATGGAGTTAGATGCTCTTTATTGCTGATCGTGTCTCTTGCCACATTTATCAGGGAAATTGGATTAGCAGTTGGCAGCTGCAGGTAGACAAGATTCTGCAGTGATTAAATATGCAGCTTGGCTGCATTTGTTGTGACAGACCTTTAGTAAATTCTACTGTAAGCACCATCTGTCTAATTTGTATGAAGAAAACTTGGTGCTTTAAGCTACCAATAAGAAACGAAATCTGTTGCTTTATCATAAACAAAACTTTTGCACTAAATGCTCTTAAATGTAATTTATTAGGTTAAGGCTATTTTTCTATCATGGTGGATAAATAATACATGCAAAGGTGCTTTCAGGTACTTCATTGTGCAAGTACTAGAGATGAATACAGTTCTGTTTTGTTTTCCAATAAAGTATTTAGTATTCCAACCCACAAGAGGTGATACTGTTAAAATATCTTTATGAAAATGCTGCAGGACTGCCAAATTCATTTAATTTGTAACCCTTACCAGGATCATCTAAATCCCTATTTATACATATTTTTCAAATGCAGATTTTAGGACCTGTGTTGCCAAACTGAAATACAGTGAGAAAAAAAAAAAGTGCTGAAAAGCCCTTATTTATAACTTTGTTTTCTTTACTCAGTCCTGATAAAGCTGAAGCAAATGTTGAAATTTTGTCTTTAGGGATTTTTGTTTGTTTTCTCTCTTAAAAGTCAAAGGGAAAGAAAGAAACAACAGCAAAAAAAAAAAAAAAAAAAAATATCCTGGTTATGTACTATCATTTCAAAATGTTTCTTGCCTCCCACCCCCCCATCATTTTATCCATAGTAAAATATAGCATGCTGTTACCCTAGCCTATGCATATTTTTCAATTCAGGCATGACGTCACGGGTTTTAAGGAAAATGAATGAAAACTTCTCAGAGGAAGAGGAGCAGTTAAATAGGAACCTGCTATCTTTAGTCTCTTCGTAAAAACTCCCCAATGTTAAATTATTTAAAATCCTTGATTTTCAGCATGCGCACATTAAAAGTTTTCGCACTAAGTGCCAAATGTTGCAAACAGCACTTTAACAGAATGATTTTGCTTTGATCCCTGTAGCAGTTCCTGAATAATTTATCACAGGTTATTGCCTTAATTCTGGAGAGGGATAGAGCAATAAAGGCAGATGAAAACACTCCAGTTGAAACACCTTGGGGCCTGCTCATTCCTCTGACACGGCTCTTTTGTTGGAACTATTTAGAGGTTATTAAGATGTGTCTCCAGAATTAAGAGTATGCTGTAAGGATGAAGACAGCCATCTTAATTCTAAAGACAAAGCACAATGACCCTTCACCTTCTTTTTCTTTGTTGTTATTATATAGTAGAATTATGAGGATAATATTATAGCTGCCCCAGTAGTGCCACTACAGTAAAGGGTCTGTCAGACTTCCCATTAGAAACCCTGTTTGGGGGTCAGGGTGGAAGGAGCGGCGTTTCCGCTGTTTCCCAGCCCATCCGTCTCACACTTGGCACACAGACAACTGTTCACCATGCTGTGGACTGGAGCTCTCAGCACTTTCTTGTTGAACTCTCCAGAAAGGAATGCATAGGATTAGATCACTAGATGTACCCCACTCCTTAAATGCGCCTCAAGAAAATTATTGGAACTCATCACCTTTTAGATCTGTTCCCCATCCCAATTCCCACCCCAAGATTCTGGGGGTCATTTGCTAGGTATGAGCTCCTGATTAGTGCTGTCTGTCTCGTGCCAGAGCTGAGTATTAAGAAAATTCTGCTGTAACATTATTTATATATCTGTGTAGATTCTGCACTACCCTGAGATGACTGCTGTTTTTTTTTTAATATAATGAATCTGTTTCTTACATTATTGCTAGAGTGAGTCTAAAACTTACGTTTATTTTGTTATATATTGTCTCTGCTCTCAAGTAACATTTTCCAAAAGTAAAACATTAGTATAATTTTATGGCTTCATTTTACTGTGTCAAAAAATGCTTAATTAAAGCATTTGTATCAACTTGGTACCTTCAAGGACAAAAATTCTGACCAAATAAAAATTAACCTTTTGTATAATGACATTTTATGAAAAGCCCTTTTTACAAGGCATAAAGTAAAATTCATGGGTTTTGTTCACCAATTTAGTATTGAATAATGGATATCTTATATGTATATGGAAGCTTAAAATTACCTGAAGAGTAGCCTGTGTAAGTGTACGTAATAAAAATAGAATTTTTAAAAAGTACTGTAATAGATGGCAAAGCCAAATAGAATCCATAGTCTAGCATATATGGTAACCAAAGTACAACTGTTGAGAGAATACTTCATAGATGACAGATTTTATTCTGGAGGTTGCAAGAAAGGACCAGTTCTAACTGGTGAGGGAAAAAAATGCATAGTAAGTAATTTAAAAAATAATGAGATAATGGTGAGGAGGCTTGGTGACGCTAGAAAAGCACAAGCCGGTGACATCATGCAGAAAGCTAGATGGTCATTTTAAGCAGCAAAAATGAAATTAGGACTTCCCAGATTCAGAACTGTGGGTTTCCATCATTTCTATAAACTGTAAGAAATAGAAATTGAGTAGTCCCATTGACAACATGCAGGTACATTGAGTTGCCTGTTAAGTCAGAGGAGCAGGATGCCTGACTGTTCTCTATGATTTGTTCCTTTGAAATGTCTTCCATAATTAAGATGGTCAAAACTCATTGCCTAGTTGCTAACTTAGGCATCTTACTAGACAGGTTTCCATTCATTACTAAAATCAATCTGTAAAGATTCAGAGACCATTTTCTGGCTTAACATTTCTACTGAAACAGTATATTCAGAAATCACAGTTGCATATCTCTACTACCATACGTCCTTGCTGGGCAATTATGTTTATTTGTGCTCTTTGTTCTGACATTCTAGCATCTGTTCACGGGTTTTCTTTTCTCTTCCCAATCATCATTCTAAGGACAGCTTAATTAAGAGTCCAGAGTATGAGTCAGATCTTTTTTATTCATGTCAATAAGGTTTGATTTGGCTTCCCCCTTCTCCCTTCTAAAACCATTTGTGAACCACACTTACTATTTGACAGGCTATTGTTAGGCATTTTTGCACACAAATGTATTTCTCATAGTAGGTCTGTAGAATGGCCATAATTATAATTAGCCCCTTTGATAGATGAGCAAACTAAGGCTGATAAATTGCCTTGACTTTAAGAATTAAACAAAGCAAGAGTTCAATTTCAAAGTCTCGTGACATTAAATATAGAACTTTTTTCCTTACATTATTCACTAACTTGAACAGTATGACTGCCTTTCTAAGCAAATTATAATGCAGTAGTTTTATCTTGTCCTGAGTTATTACAACTTTTCTTTGGAAATTTTTAAAAGCCAATGCATTTCTAGAGCACACTGAATTGTAGTGAGGTTGAGTTTAGTCAAGCCATTTGTTTGAGATTTGCTATTAAGTAATGTCTAGATTATATATCTCTTGTGAAATTATGAATCCTGATCCTTTTTTTTTTTCAAATTTGGCAGTATTCAGATAAAATGTAGATTGAGTTACAATGTTTCTGTGCTCCTGGAATTAAGACTTAGCTCGGTTTATAAGAAGCAGAGTGGAGTTGGTCAGCAGATTGATGGTCTGTTTATTAAAGAGTCTATGGTTTTCTATAGAAAGGGATCTGAGCGAGACATTTTAGCTAATGAATCAGAATCAGATATGTGGTCATTATTGCCTGATTATTACTCCATCTGCTCTGCGCTAACGTGAAAATCAATTACTGTGTCTCTTTCCTACTGACAGCGTATGTTGATCGGGCTGGCAAGAGATCTTCGAGGGATTGCCTTTGCACTGAACACAAAGACCAGCTACACCATGCTGTTTGACTGGATGTATCCTTATTACACTGTGACAATACCAGCTCTGTGCACAGAGGGATGCCAGGCCCCTCTCTTTCGTTTAATAGTGTGGCACAGTAGGGAAGAGGAAACAAAGCTAAATGAACTAATGTGTAATCAGCTAAAAATTACAGCACAGTGGCAGCAGTGCAGATAACTGAGCACAGCATTTGGAGACCCAGCTCCAAGAGGTCACTTTTTTGATAGATACCTATTAAATATTGACAACTTAAAAATAACTTCCCTCAAATTTTTGTTTATGTTGGGGCTGCAGGCATCATGTTGCTAATATCTGTACTTGTGATCAGTGATTTGTACCATGTAGTATTTTCTGGGGAGACTTGAAGTCTCTGTTCCATATCAATTATCAGGGCTGAGAAGATTAGTTTACCTATTTGAGATTTTTGGTCATCTGATGAGAATGTTAATGGTTATGAGATGGGGGGGGGGTGAGAATAAGTGGCCAGATTTGTCATTTGCTATAAAATTTGAAAACTGTAGTATAGATGCAGATGGGCAGGGGGAATCCCTATACAGAAATGCTTCATCATGTAAGAATAAGAAGACAGATGAGGTTTAAAATCCCAGCTTTTCAGTTACTGGGTAAACCTCAGCAAATCATTGTATTTCTCAGAGACTTGATGTCATCATCCAGCAAAAGAGACAATTCGGTATCCTCATTTACTGTGACCACTGAGAAAAGTAAGCACTCTTTCTGATGTCTGACACTTACACAGTGGCCATAAACATTTATTAACATGTTAATAGTACTCTGAGTCGTCTTTGATCCTAACAGGATATGACTGTTTATACAGGTCATTGACATGTGATAGCTTCATGCCCTTTACATTTGAAACCAGCAACACATAAGAAAATTCTATTTTAAAGCTAATTGACTTGTTGTATTTTATGGATTTCTTTAAACAGTGTCTCTTATAGCCCAGGTTGGCCTCAGACTTGACATGGAGCCAAGAATGGACTCAATCTCCTGGGCATCCTGCCTCAGCCACCTACGTATTAGTGTTACAGACCTGTAACATGCCCAACTTAATTTACATTTAAGGGGTATTCTTTCTCTCTTGCTTTTTATTTAAGCCTTTCTTATCCAAACTTTCTTTAAATATTTGTAAAGGAAACTTCTTAAAGGCAGTGTTCAATGACTGTGCCATAGTTGTGGCCCACAATATAACAGATCTGAGCATATTTTAGAGAGAACACTACACATTATGAAAATTTTTAAAAACTAATGTTTAAAATATTAGTAACTTATGGTTTTAGTTGCTATGGAAACCTACTTCTTCATTTATTTTCTTAGAGATCAGACAGATAAGCCTTTTTCATGGCCCTGAAGAATCAGCTACATGCCTTATACATATATGTGTACGGAGGTTATAAATTTAATCATAAGAAAGTCTTAAATTAATGTATGAAAGATAGACCAGACATATATGACCATTTTATTTCTATAAACACCCTCTTCCAAAATCAAAACTTTTCATTTATTTGGAAAATCATAAAAGTCTAATTTTGGTACAAAAAAGTAATTATTCACGTGAAACCAGGCTCTAAAGCCAGCCTGTCCAGCAGTGGACAGGCCTTTTTCCTGTTCACCAGTTTTAAGAAGAGCCAAGGTCAGAAACTCCCTCCTGTGTCAACAAATACAATCTGGTTCCATTTCAGCATTTGTCCAGCAGATGGCAGAAATGGAAAATCTTGGGACTTAAGTGTTTTCTTTTGAACTAGAAACTGGTATCTCCTCCATTTGACCATAGATGTTGAAGTTATTGAGGTCAGGGGCGAAGGGCGAGGTGTCACTTATGCAGCAAGCTGTGCTACATTGCCAGACACAGTGGCTTGCTACTGGCCTTGCTTATAATAATTGAGTTTCAGTAGCAAATCAGCTTCCTTGGGAAAAGGCCAAAGGCTTTTCATAATTGTATTGACAACAAAATGAATATGATAAATGGTGTTCATTCAGTTGAGACAAGATTTATAGTTTTCCTTTGGGCAAGAGATGAAGAGCAAATATTTATAATAATAGTAGAATTTGTTTAAAAGTTACATTATTTGATCATTCAAAAAGCTTTATTAAAATATTTTGAAATACTTTTAACAGTTTCAGGTGATAAAGCACAGTCTTTCCAAAGTGTTCAGGTGATGCAAAAATGAATAAGTATATGATTTTTTAAAAATGCGGATATGAAAGTCATTTATTCTTCCTGAAATATTGATATGTCAAGCCGTCAGTGATGATTCCCACATTATTGCTGGGGAAAGTTTATTTGCCTTTTATCCGCATAGATGTGTGTTCTTTAATTTGTTATGCAATCCTTAGCTTGCAGAAGAAACATTCCTGTAAGAGCACATGTCATCGTAAAGTCAAAATGCATTTTATTTATGATGATTGTTTGATAAAATGCTATTTTAGTGTTTAGCTATTTAATTCAGAAGCATCTCTATGAACACTGACTGCATTAACTGCTACACAAACTGCATTGCTTATCACTCAGTCCTTCCGAAACTAAATGGCCTGAAACTACACAGCAACCATCTTGATAATTTTTCCATGACTAGAAAATTCAGTAAGAAATCATCCATTTATACCTTTGCCCCAAAAGTAAGAATGCAACAATCAAAAAACTCTTACCTTGCAGTGCATTGAAATACATTATTTAAACCTTTCCCAGGTTATACTTAGATTAAAGTGTCAAAAATCCAGAGGGAAACTGAAAAATAAACCATTATTTCCATGCACTCTAATTATCATGATGTGGTCATTGAGCTCACATAGGCAGTCAGTGCTGTTTATTAATGTACATAAGCGCATACACAAAACCAAAGCAAGACAGTGAGGGATGCAGAAGAGCATGAGCTCTGTGATAAGACAGTCTTACTAAACTCCAGGCTTGCTTTCACCACTTCACAACCTTTGGGTCTTAGGTAAGTTATTTTGAGTCTCAGAGTCACAGTTTGACTTCCATGATACAAAACAAATAATTCCCATCTTATAGTTCCCTTATAAGAACTGTTGTGCTGATGTGATTATATAAAGGTCCTACTGAAATGTCTGGTACAAAATAGCTATATCACCTCTTTTCCTAAAATAGTTAACAAAGGACTCACACTTGCTCACTTATTCAGCAAAGTGGGCTTCCATGGCACAGTACACTCGTTTCTAAGAACAGTATAGGTTACTGAGACACAGTTCCTGACTGCAAAGGAACTTCTAGTTCAAACAAGTCCTGTGCATGACTGACTTAACATAGGAAGCTGAGATACCACAACACTTATACAGACAGGAAAAGGAGCTCCGTTTATCTGGGGGATCATGGAAGGTCCTGTGAAGGTGACCTTGTCTCACCAGGTCAAGTAAGACTGGACCCTGGGGAGTTAGAAAGAGGCAGTTGAAGTGATCATCAGTTTAGGGGGTAATTAAAATGTTTCATTAGGACACAGCTTATTTCATGGTTAGAGAAACAAGTTGTCTGAGACCCTTGAGTATCAGACTCCAAAATGTATATCCATATTCTACAGGCATTATGAAACCTGTAGAATAAGTTCTGATGACTTTGGCCAACATAATCAGAAGTATATCTCAAGAAGAAAGCCATTGGCCTTGTGTTAAACAGGGGAAGAAACCTAAACAGGCACCATTGAGCGAGCATTCTTTGGAATATGTGTTTTATGCACAGGAAATACAAGAATACATTGCTGTTTTTCAGAAGTTTGAGATTAAGATGCAAAAGGATTCCCTGTTGACCAACTAGTTCCACATGTGTTGTAGCAGAGACATGAACATTTGTGAAGAATTGACAAGTATTTTAGGCAAAATGGGAGAGGTTTCCCAGAAAACCAAAAGATGGGTTACCAGCCAGGAGAGAGGAAAGGTGTCACAAAGCACATATTCCCTCGTGGGCACAGCACAGATGTGTCACACAGCACATGTCTCCTCACAGACACTATAAAACGGACATTGGCATGTTCACAGAGCACCTTAAGATATCCTCTGAACTGCTGGGCTTTTTCCAGTCTAGACCCACAGCCTCAAACCCTGATTCCCTGACAGTTTTAATGGAAAAATTAAAGTTGTCTTATATATTATAATGCTTTCTCGTTTTTTCTTGTTATGTTCATTTTGTTTATTCTGTATGTGTGTGTGCTCATGCCGTAGCACACACGTAGAAGTTAGAGAACAGCCTATGGGAGTTAGTTCTTTCCTACACCACAAGTGTCCTGAGTATTGCGCTCAGGTCATCGGGTGCAGCAGAAGCACTTTTACCCAGTGAGTGATCACGCTGACCTTTTTTTCATTTCTTTCACACTTTTTAAAGTTACAGAACCACTTTTTCTACTATTAAATCTACAAAAGAAATAATTGTAGTTTTTCTTTTTTACTACTTTTTCTTGTTGTATAGCACCTGGAAACTACTAGTAATTACTAGATAGATTATTGGGAGGATACATGAATGGAAGCAAATCTGATGCTTGCCACTTTCTCGTATTTGGCCTCTTGTCTGCTAATGTCACAATCGATGCCTTTGATTTTTTTTTTTCATTTGTCTAATGTAGACCTTTGTTATTCATTAAGAAGATCTAGGTGAAAGAAATTAGATCCATGCCCCTTCTACCTAAAGGCTCTCTTTCTCTTCCTCCTGCCCACATATATGTAGTCCTCACAAGGCCACTGGAAAATTAAACTTGGGTTTTGATTCTCACTCTGTAATCTGAGCCTGGCACTCTCACTCTGAAGCCCTTTTAACCTCCCTGCTTAGTAGACCTCTGCTCTGCTTTCCAATAATCACTCATTTTCTCTGTGGCAGTCACCTCTGTCAGAAGCATATTAGAATTGTCACTGCTCTCATTCCACACAGAAAAGGGAGCATCTCCTCATATCCCCTGGTCTTCTCCCAGTGTGAATACAGCATGCTCTAAAAACCTGTGGTGCTCTGTCTTTAGAGTAGTTTGCAGATGGCCTGGGTAAGCCTCCAGTGCTCTTAGGTTTGGAGGTTTGTGTCTGTTTTCTGGTGATCCCAGACTTTGTGCTTAGGCTATCTCTTTCCTGAGCTGGGAAAGCATCCTTTACACACCTGTCACTCTGATGAAGTATGATAAAAACCATGTCTTCCTACTTCTAGATCCCTGGCCCTTAACACAGATCATAGTATGTAATAGCTTCTGTCTATTAAATAATAACAGTTTTCTAGTACTTAGAAACAGTAAACTGACAGTTCAAATCAAGTTTGCAGTCAAGTTAGGGTTTTATGTTTATGCGTGTGTGTGCGTGCATGCGTGTGTGTGTGTGTGTGTGTGTGTGTGTGTGTGTGTGTGTGTGTGTGTGTGTTACACCACAGTACATATATGGACATCAGAAGACAACTCACACTTTTCATCATGTAGGTTCTGAGGATCAAACACTAGTTTTATTTTTATCATTTTCATCCAACTGACTCTCCACCTAAACATACCCACTCGCTTCCTGTCTTCACTCCCTGTTCTTTTTGTTTGTGGTATTTTGTAGCATGTATTTGTTACTTCCTGATTACTAAGATATGATCCCATAAGGGAAGGCATTTTCCTGGTGTTTTTGTTCGCTGATATTTCTGAAGATTCTATAACAGTGCATTTGAGGAAGGCTTCAGCAAATCCTTGTTATAGAAATTGTTTGGGGGTATGCAGCCTCTTACAGGGGTCCAGACAGGGTTTCTCTGTGTAACAGCCCTAGCTGTCCTAGAACTAGATCTGTAGACTAGGATGGCATCCAAGTCACAGAAATCCACTTGCGTCTCTAGTGCTGGGATTAAAGGCATGTGCCACGACCGCCCAGCATGTGAAGTGATTTCTTAAAGCTCAGTATGAAGTACTGTTTAAGCAGTTAAGATACACTTTTATCCATGTAGGCTCTGTCTTGTAGGTTTACAACAGCAAGTACATTGCACTGAGTCTGTACATAGAAGACGATGCTGGTTTCTGCACTCACAGGGCTTAGGATAGAGAGAGAAATTCTGTGGTAGGGCCAGCACAGTCTTACATAGGCCTTCTCCCAACCCCTGGTGGACTATCAGGTAGAGTGATTCTGGAAAAGATTTTTAGGAATCATTGACAGCTGTTTTGGAATATGAGGGAGGAAATGGTAGTGAAGCATGGATCTTGGCTCTTTCAAAACCAATGGAACAGGTGGGTGGTGCAAACTGCCAGCTCTGCTTCTCAGAGAGATGGAGTCAGGAGTACTCATTGAGCATAGCTAGAGACAACAGAGAAGGCATCCCTGAATCATGGAACATGAAAGACAGGATGATGCAGAAGGAAGTAGCGTATAGGGCACAAGTATTGGAGTCCCATGATTTTCAGGGAGTTGGGAGGAGCCAAACTGTACATAGAGCAGAAATGGTGAGGTTGGAGGCAGAGTAGCCTTCATGTCTTGTTGAGGAACTTGATGTGTGTGGGTGTGTGGCAGGGTATGGTGCAGTGGAGGATGTTGTGTTGAGGTTTTTCACCATAGAGCTCTGTCCAAACCACACAGAAAAAACTAGTGAACCAATTCAGCACTTTCATCTAAAACAAAGACACAAGGGACTTGGAAAGAGACTTGGAACCTAGCAAAACAGAAAGAGTAGGCAGTGTCATCAAGTCTTCCTGCTGTGGTTTAAGGTTTTAATCCTACATTTATTGTCCATTTGCCAAGAAGGAGGCCAAGTGAAGCCAGCAGGGATGAGTTGGCTATTCATACTGTGTGTCCCTGACTAGGCTCATCAGAAGTAGGACCTGTCACATTAACAAGAATGCTTTGCAGGCCAGCCATGTTGGCACACATTTTTAATCCCTGCATTCAGGAAGCAGAGGCAGGTGGATCTCTGTTAGTTCAATATATATCAGAGGGAAAGGAGAGGGGAGGAGGGAGGAAGGGGGGATGGGAGGAGGAAGAGAGAGAGAGAGAGAATCCTATGGTTGTGTGCTAGCGTTAACAGTGGCATTGGGCAGATTAGAACTGCCGTCATCATACAGAGCTAATGAGCGATGTGGTACCCAGAAGATGGTACATTAATAGCAGGTTAGCAGGTCAGAGCTTTGATGCAGGGTGACCAACATCCCAGATGTTTCTTGGAACTCCACTGGTACCAAAGCAGAGAAATCAATGACTTAATGTAAATTTAAAAAAAAAAAAAAAAAAAAAAAGACAAATGTAGGTGATCTTGAAGCTGGCATAAATCTGTAATATTGTTACTGTTTTGTGTTTTTTTAACTTTCCACAATGTCTTTTTTCTCAGTATGACCCTCAGAAGTCCCAATAATAGTGACTCAATATATTTTTATTCCTCTTTAACTAAATTTGCTTCCATTCCTTATAACAGTAAGCATAATTCTTTAATCACAGTACTTACATGATATTTAAAAGTGTATCTTAACTTACATGTAATACCAGGAATAAAACAATTTAATTTATGGGGACAAAAAAGTTCAGACACTGTGCCATCGTCCATAAAACAAAAGAAATGTGGATTTCTGTTTGCTTGGTTATTTTTAAATGCCATTAATTTTCAGCAGTATGTTTTTTGTTTTGCTGTTTTGGGGGGAGATAGTATTCAGGACTTTGTGCATGTTAGTTTGGTTTTCTGCCATTAAACAGCATTTCAAGTTCTTAGCCCCTAAATTCTTTAACAGACTTTATATCAGGTACCCAGCATATCTCCCTGTTCTTCAGAGAGCTATTGAGCGATGGTATGGAGAACCAGCGTGTACCACTCCTATCTTAAAACTTTTGGCAGAACTGATGCAAAACAGGTAAGCCACTGCTGCCTGCTGGGCATTGCCACAGTTTAGCAAGAGTACAGGGCAGAAACCCCTGACAACAATAGATATGAGCTTCAAAAGGAAGAAAATTACAATTCACTCTGGGGGTGCAGGGCTGAGAAAGGCAAAGAATGAATAGTATACTTTATATACAAAAACTTTGGGAATTGGAAAAAAGTTGAAAGACTACAGCCACTGTTATTAAATACCCAGTCACAAAATAGAAACAAAAGAGCAGCTATTTTAACTATTACTCTGCTTAGCTACAATTCTGTAGAATTTTAAATAAGGAAATGTGATCTCTGAGTTGAGAGGTTATATACTGTATAGATAAGTAAACTAAGTCTCAGGGCAGTTCACTGGCAGGTGGTTGTTTGCCCAGGGGCTGTGAGGATGTCTCTGCCTAAACTGAGCATCCTTCTGTGTTGGATGCATATGTTTGCAGCCACAGCATTTCTCAGACCTTGTGATTGTGTGTAGCAGCAGGGATTCAGATGCTTTGCTTATAAATACAAAGATTTGGCAAAGGGGCTGGGGAAACTATAGCAATCTACTTATGTCTGCCTGTTTAAAATGTGTCATTATGGATGTGGCCTAGCACCATTTACCTGTCACTTAGCTATCCTGTTTCATCAGTGCCTCTCTACAAACAGCCAGACAGGGAAGGAACATGGGTTGCAGCTCAGCTTACTCTGTTGCTGAGTTGTTCGCAGTAATAAATCAGGTTTTTTTACTCTTAAATGAGAGGTGGAAAAAGATTTATAAAAGAAATTTTTTTTTTTTTTTTGGAAAGCTCTCAGGATTTTTTTAAGTTTTCTCAAGTATCTTAAATATTTGGAGAATGTGTGCCTTATATTTAATATTAGAAATATGGACTATTTATAAGTTAAATTGTTAATTAGACATATAGTATCAAAATAGCATTTATAGTAAAAATAATGTCTGTCACAAAGCATTTTGTGTCTGCCATAGTAGATAATTCAGCACAAATGACTCAACATAAAAATTTGTATTTCATGAAACACTATATGAATTTCTTCCCTATAATGCATATTTGTATTTTTTAAAATCAGAGTTATTATAGTATTTAATAGTAAACTAATTTTGAAAAGCAGCAATTTGTTTAGCAAACAAGACATTAGCTATGATTTAGGGACAGTTTTTGTTTTTTGTTTTTTTTTTTTTTTTTTTTTTGGTTGGTTGGTTGGACAATTAGTTGGTATTTTATTTGTTTCTTGCAACATTGTGGGTTTTGTTTTTCCTTTGTTTGTTTTGGGGGTTATTTGTTTGGTTTTTTTTTTTTTTTTTTTTTTGGTTGGTTGGTTGGTGGTTGGATTGGCTTTTTGGTTTTTTAGTTTTTCAAGGCAGGGTTTCTTTGTGTAGCCCTCGCTGTCCTGGAACTAACTCTATAGACCAGGTTGGCCTCAAACTCATAAAGATCCACCTGCAGGGTTTTAAGGCATGGGCCATCAGGACCAGGCACTCTTGCAACATTATTTAAAGACATTCCATTGTATCTTGAAAGCATAGCAGCATGGCATGTCAGAGCCAAATGAGGCCAGGGAAGGATCTAGAAAGCAGATATTACATCAGAAGGCTTGTCCCTTACTCTGTTCAAAGTGCTCTCCACCTGTGGGGAGCCAGGAAAACAAAGTTTTTCTCAGAACTTGCAGAATTTGTTCCTTATTAGCTCAGCTGGGTACAGTGGAAACTATGGTCTATAATTGTGTAGTGTGTTTGAAATGTGTTCTGTTTGTGAGATGACCCAGTTCACATTTGTGTATTACTAAAAGGCCCTGCATAGAATTTTTTTAAAAGATAAAACTCACACTGTGGGAGATACCAAATGTGTCACTTATTGTTTTTAAATAATTATTCATCAGCCACTTTGCATCAAAGGAGAAGAGGTAGATCTGCAACCTAAAACATTAGGATATTATTTTGATAAATAGAAGACGAACCCTTTGGATCAACAAATAGTGAAGAAGTTATTGTACATATTTTACCAGTAGCTGTTTGATTGGAGTAGTTTTTTTAAAGGGTAACTGGAACTAAACTGCTTCTTGGAAATGAAATTGCTAGACATGCCGATATTTAGTTTCTTTATCTGCAGGAATAGTCTGATTTTTGCTATATTTCTTAGGTCTCAGCGTTTGAATTTTGATGTATCCTCTCCTAATGGAATTCTTCTCTTCAGAGAAGCAAGCAAGATGATTTGTACTTACGGTAAATACCTTTCTCCATATTGGTCTCTCCAGTATAACTTAACATCGTTTCCTTCTTCTGAACCTCCGTATCTGTACGAATTTGTGAGGTGGCAACAGTACAGAAAGTAGGACCCTCACCTGAACAGAATCAGACAGGCGAGGTAATGACATCCTCACCAACTTGATACATTTCTCTGAGATAAAATTACCATGTCAGTAGTAAAAAATACAGTAGACTTCTTAAAGTTATAGTATAGCCAGAATTTCTCAAATGTGTATCAAAGAATTTGCTGTCTTGGGTCTATGAATTCTTAGACCACTTTGTCAGGAAATAACCTGGCAAATGGTAGTGTTTTATTATAATATTACAAGGAATATTTATATTTTTGGTTCTGTACTGCTAGAAGTAGGATTCCCAAGACAAGATTGTTCTAGTCGATCACATTAAAAGGTTTTTTTACAATTTATTTAGCAGTTTGAGCCTAAGAACTACCATTATCCCTAACACTTGCCAATTAAGACAACTTCGTTGATTTCCTTTCAAAACTTTTTTCTAAGTTATAACCGTTTGTTTCTTTTGCTATATAACGATTCCATACATGTATGTACTGTATTCTGGTCACTCTTTTCCAGACCCTTCTTATTCCCCTGATAGCTCCTTAATTTTAGTTCTTTTACCCATGTTTGTTGGTTTTTATTTTGTTTTGTGTCCTGTAGAGTAGTGTGACACTAGGTTCAGAACTAAGCTTCAGAGATTGTGAGCATTGTACCCACCAGTGTGTACAAATGGATGCTGCCCCATCCCCCAGAATCAGTTTCTAGTAGATGTGCAGTGGAGGCTCCCTCAGCCCCACCTCCATCTGACTTTTGTAGGCCCAACACCAGAACACACAGCTGTAATGAGTTCATGATTTTGCCATGGTCATGTCGTGCTACCAAGATGGCAATTTGAAGCCCTTCTCCCTACTTTTCAGTTCTTTGGTTCTTTCTGCATCCTCTTTACAGTGTACCCTGAGCCTTAAGGGAGTAGTGCAACTGTCTTTTTTAGGGTGGAGCCTTTGGCCACCCTTTATCTTCAGCATCTTTTGGAGCCAGGGATCTTTGCAGCCAACTCCATTCACTGTAGGGAGAGGACTCTCTAATGAGTAAGTGGCTTTTGTCTGTAGGCATAAATGTGGTGTCTGGAAGATGACTTGATGCTGTCAAAGCAGCAAAGCAGCAATACTAGGCTCTACCTTGGGGCCTGAGACCCTGTTCAGGCATGGATTTGGGGCTGAGTGGATTCCCTCCTATAGTAGACCACAAACCTTTTATTGTTTTTATTTTTTAAGTATTCAACAACGTTAGCCATGAGGGAAATACAGATAAAACTACTTTAAGATTCCATCTCAGTCCAATCAGAAGAGCCATCATCAGGGATCCAAATGACAATAAATTCTATATTAAGTCACTTATCATACATTCCTCAAGTCCTCGATATAATATTGCTGGTTCCCTGACTTTGGGTAAGTTAGAGGTGGTTATAAAGAATTGAGTCAGATACTGTCCTGAAAGGCCTTAGACCAGTTAGTCAGTATAATTACTGTGATGGTTTGAAGAGATAGGGTCCCCATAAACTCTGGCACTGTTAGGAGGTGTGGCCTTGTTGAAGGAAGTGTGTTATTGTAGGGGTGAGGTTTGAGTGAGATCTAACAGCCTCACACAATACCCAGTATGGCAGTCTTTCCTTGTGCTGTCAGCTCTCTCACCAGCACCATGTCTGCCTGCACCTTGTTTCCCACCATGACAATAATGAACTAAACCTCTGAAACTAAACCAGTCCCAATTAAATGTTTTTCTTTATAAGAGTTGCCATGGTCATGGTATCTCTTCACAGAAATAGAAACCCTAACTAAGACAATTACTATAACTACCATAACTAGCCACTGTAATTACTGTAACAAGAAACTGAAACTGAAGCTGTTGGCATTAAGACGCTCGCCAAATATTAAGTAGCTATTGATGGTCGGCTTGGAATTTCACCGGAAGTCAGTGTGACTATAGAGAGTAATTTTCCCATATCCCTTCCTGCTTCATGAGAAGATTTAGGAAGTTTAAGACCAGCACTATGTGATCTAGTAATTTTCATCCCAAAACTTGAGAGAAACCAAAGTTACACGTGGGAAAATATCCCCCAGTTGTGTTACCAGTTACTTTGACACATGCATTTCACGTAGAACAATATAAGACTGTCCTGTCCTCCTTGGAATCCCATGCTGGCTTCCAGCCTTCTGGGATCTGGAATATTTTTTTAGCATGCCTTTCCTTTGGAGAATCTAGCTTACTGGTGCTTGCCATCTAGGATCCTGGAAGATGAAAGGGTAACAGTGAGGCTGAGCAGAGTGAGAAATACTGACTTCTTTGGGTTATCCAAGGTGAACGACAGGGAAACTTAAGGACCCTACTGTCCCCACCTTCATTGAGCTTCCTCATAGCTCACCTCTCCTAGATAATGTTTGCATAGTTGGGGATGGGGTGGTACTAGAGAGCACTCACAGCTTAATGCACCTGATTTATTACATATTTTATGGACCATCTCTTCTTCACTGCTCTGTGAGACTGGCAGAAAAATAATACTTTTGATATGCTGTTTTATTTATCTACATTCTGTCATGATATACTTTGATGTAAGTTTTTAATTTTGCTTCAGCTCTCAGCTGCTCTTGCCGTTACAGCTCAGGGTCAGCACTGAGGTTAGCCACAGTAGCACAAAACAATTTCCTGTTTGTACAGCCCAGGTAACATTTGGATGAGGATTAAATTTTACCACATTTTCTACTAGCCCTAGCCTATTATTTCTAATGAGTTTTAAATTGCTTCAAGAACATGTATTTCAAAACTTAGTGCAATGATCCTTCAGCCTGAACAACTTAATAAAAGAAATTTCTTTCTCTAAATTTTTGGTTAAAATGTTGCATGCAGTGTAATAAATGTTATTACTCTGGAAACCTACTTCTCAGTTTTAAGAAGTGGATGTTTTTATGCTCAATTTCCATTTGTTTAATCTTTTCTTCCCATTGCCTCTGGGTACTGGGATCTTTAGTGACATCTGTTGGTTGAAGAGCGCACAGAGGGGAGAAATACTGTTCATTTTCATGAGCCTGGCCAACATGGAATTGCTTGTATTCCTTCCTTTGGTGGCAGATTTTAGGAAGCTTAGCTTGTAAAAGTTTAAACTTTAAAAATAGCTGGAACAAATTATGATTATTCTCTTTACTGAAAATTTATATCTTGAGCTGAGAGATGGCTCAGCAGAGGACCTGGGTTCGATTCCCAGCACCCACACGGCTGCTCTAAATTGTTTGTAACTCCAATCCCAGGTAACCTAATGCCCTCTTCTGTTCTCCATGGGCACCAGACACACAAGTGGTACATAAACACATGTGGGCAAAGCATCTGTACGGATGGATGGATGGATGGATGGATGGATGGATGGATGGCATCTCAAAAAGATGTTTAAAGAATTTTCATCTTGAAACAACATATGCTTCTTTAACACTCATAAATTGAGTTTGTGAAGTTTAATACAAACCATTGCTATTCTTTGTGACCAAGCTAACAAACCAGTGGATATACAGAGCCCTAGAAGTCTGTTAAATACCACATAAACTGTTCGGAAGAAAAAAAAAAAAAAAAAACAGCTACACAATTGCACAAACTAATTTATTTGTAAAGGATGTCTCCCATTAAAAAGATAATTCCTGGAATACAGCATTAAAAGTCACCATATATTTGCATTGGTCTTAAAATAGTTAGAGATTTTGTAAAATGGCAGCAGGAAATAACAGTTTTTGGAAACAGACTATCCAAGGTTATCGACAGTAGCCTTTTCTTTGTGTATACAATGCAGATAATAAAGCTTCCAAAAGTCTTTTGTAAGCAATAGGATGATTGTGCCTTGAGGACCCCAAAATCCTTCTCAGTTAACTTACAAGAAAAAGGAGGGGGAGACCTTAAAAATTATTCCATGGTGAGTTTAAGAAACTACGAGTGTTAGAATAAGCCTCCTTTGCACACAAGTAAAACAAAGTGCTAATGACTTCCTTCATCATGCAGCTAACATTTATTGAGCATGTGTTGTGTGGTACTGTAAGTTACAAAGGATGAGAAGATAAACGGGGTGGGGCACAGATTTTTCACTAAAAAAGCTTAAGTCTGTCAGGAGATTAATGAATTACAGTACACTGTGCTCTAATATGCTTAAAAGTATTCAGAGTGCTCTAGAAGACATTTTTCCTTCAAAGTCAAGGGTCAGAGAAGGCAGAATTTAAAAAATTTTTTATTTATTTATTTTCTTATTTTGCATATCAAACTCAGTTCCCTCTCCCTTCCTCCCATGCCCCCTACCACCACCCTTCCATCCCATTCCCCACCCACTCCACAGGGAGGGTGATCCCTTCCAGGAGGGATCAACAAAATCTGTCAAGTCATTTGGAGTAGGGACCAGGCCCTTCTCTCCCCTCCCCCCCCACCCCACCCCCCCACCCCCGTCTCTAGGTTAAGGGAGTATCCCTCCATGGGGAATGTGCTCCCAAAATCCTGTTGTGCACCAGGGATACATCCTGGTTCTACTGTCAGAGGTTCCTTAGACTGCCCAGGCCTTCTGAGACCCATGTTCAGGGGTCCAATGCTGGTTTCCCAGCTATCAGTCTGGGAACCCATTAGCTCCTCCTTGTTCAGGTCAGCTGTCTCTGTGGGTTTCTGTAGCCTGGCCTTGTCCTCCCTCTCTGTACCTGGATTCCAGTTCAGCTCAGTGTTTAGCTGTGGGTGTCTACCTCTGCCTCCTTCAGCCAGTAGATGAGGGCTCTATGATGGTGGATAAGTTAGTCATCAGTCTCATCAGGGAAGGGCATTTAAAGTAGTCTTTCCACTGTTGTTCAAATTGTTAGTTGGGGGTCAGTCTTGTAGGTCTCTAGACATTTCTATAGAGTCAGTTTTCTCTTCAAACCCATAATGGCAGTGAGTGGAAAGGGAGCTAGG